GCTCGCAGAAGAAGCCAGGGAAGACCCTGATGAAGAACGCAGCCAGGAATCTTGGGGTCTTGAAGGTGAGAGAGACAAGAGGGACTGGAGGGCTGGAAGGTACCACCAAAGGAGACACAAACGTGATGAAGAGCTTGCAGAAGAAGCCAGGGGGGAGCCTGATGAAGAACGCAGCCAGGAATCTTGGGGTCTCGAAGGAGAGAGAGACAAAAGGGACTGGAGGGCTGGAAGGTACCACCAGAGGAGACACAAACGTGATGAAGAGCTCGCAGAAGAAGCCAGGGAAGAGCCTGATGAAGAACGCAGCCAAGAGTACTGGGACTTTGATACTGGAAGAGATAAGAGAGACTGGAGGGCTGGGAGGTACCACCAGAGGAGACACAAACGTGATGAGGAGCTCTCAGAGGAAGAGAGAGAAGAGCCTGATGAAGAACGCAGCCAAGAGTCCTGGGACTTTGATACTGGAAGAGATAAGAGAGAGTGGAGGGCCGGCAGGTACCACCAGAGGAGACAGAAACGTGATGAGGAGCTCTCAGAGGAAGAGAGAGAAGAGCCAGATGAGGAACGCAGCCAAGAGTCCTGGGGCTTGGACAAAAGAAATGGAAAAGAAGAGGAAGAAATAGAAAAGCGCATATGGAAACCGTCACATAGATACCACCATAAAAAGAAACTCCACAAGCGTGGCGGAGGGTCATCGGAAGAAGAGGAAGAACAGAGGAGTGATTCAGAGGAATATGAGGAGGTGGCAAAGGACAAGGACGATGCTCTGAGGTACTTCTATCTTTCATCATATCTAACAACTTCTACTCTTTAATTGTTTGTTTGTATTCTGCACCCCGGAGCACAAAACACTGCATGGTTCAATAATACATGTCTCCAATCAACAGGGATCCAAACAAAATTTTGCCTAAGATATAAAAAAAGCCTTAAGCAGTGTGCATGTGTTGACATAAAAACTACTGGTAGAACAGCATCTAATTGGGGCTGTGTTTCAGATATCTGGCAGAGAAGCGTAATCCCTGGATTTTCAGAGGCTACTACCATCCTGCATGGTTTAAAAGGAGTTCAGATAAGCACGCTGCAACCTCAGACAAGGTAGGCATTATGTGTATATATGAAACAGCAATTATATAGTTGCAAATTGTTTGTAGCTTTGGTTGAGAGACATTAAAACTCAACCTAAATGTGCAGATTCAGGAAAGTTGTCCTGTAAAAATATGTCCGTGGCTAATTTTCTCAGTCTATTAAACTTTTTAGCACATGTAAGTAATATTTTATTTTATTGACTCTCATCAATTTTCTCAATGTCAAACTCAATACTTCTTCATCCAGTTTGACGGCATTATCATTAACCAGTTAAATTTTGATCATCAGATTATTATTTTGACCTAGCACAGTTTAGACATAATCTGGTTCTGCCTGTTTTCAGATGGAGGAACTGGCTAAATTGCTGAAGTATAAGATAAACCAGCTGGCCAACCACTCTAATCAAGATGAGGCAAAGAGGAGCACACACCAGAGAGCACTTAACGCGCAGGAGGTAAAAACCGCTTCCACTTACTGCAAAAAAAAAAAAAACCTTTGTGACTGAAGCGCGGATGCATTTGCTCTCTCGTTTGCTTTGTTAAACCTCTAACTAGACCACTGAAGTCTGCACAGCATGTACTGAAATTTACTGTGTAACTGATATCTGTATATCTGTACTGATGAACAGTACCGTGTAGCAACCAAAATTCAGGCAAAAAATTTTTATAAAAATGCAAGTAAATCTTAAAAACTAGTTAGAATCTTCCCTGAAAGATGACTGAGAATACATGCATTTGCAAGTTCCACGCTTATGAAAGCCCCCCCTCCTCCCCAGCCATATATTCAGCTGACCCAGTAAAGCCATGAAGCACATCAAGTACCTCCATTTCACTGTTTCACTGTGGTGGAAGCAGTCTTGCTCATTATGGAAATCTCTAATCTACATGGAAATGTCAGGATTTAGCCTTCAGAACCACAGAGCATCAGTGAATATGCATCTGTGCAAATGCACATCAAGAACTGTCCCTCGTAATCATGTCCCAAATACATGAAGACAAAATGGAACCAGTAAAATTATAGGTAGTGAATCGTTCCTCAACTCTGGCACACATAGAACATTATTTTTTGGGGGGCTTTCTCAAATGTTCTTCACTACATGTCTTTTCAGCACTTGTTTGTTTGTTTGTGCTCTTTATATTTGCACTTTCCACATCAGCTTTTTATGACTGCTGCAGTAATCACACAAGTACCTTATGATTATAGCCTCACAGAGCAATCAGTCATAATATGCCCGTTGAAAAGAGAGCAACGGCCTGTGGAGAGCTTCCTATCTTGTAACATACTTTGAGCAGAAAAACAAATCAGGGAGGAGGCGTAGTTGTTTATCAGTTCTGAGGCACCACAGCTCAAAAGGATAAAAAGGGAATGTTTAACCTAAATGACCAATTCAGCATATTATGCTAAGTTTGGAGCAGGCATGGGAAAATTAGCCTAATTTATGATAATGTACAAATTTCTATTCCATGCATGCCAAAAAAAACCAGACTGTTCAGATGTCACAATATAACCTGATGGTATTCAGTTGCTGATGTACAAATATTAATATAAATATATGTTTTTCAGGAGAAAGAGCTGGAAAACCTAGCAGCGATGGACATGGAGTTGCAGAAAATTGCTGCCAAGTTGCATGACAACAGTGCTTAAAGCAGGATGGACATCATTTCATTTCACTACCAGTGGATAAAAAACTCCTGTCTTACTGTATGTCTGCCGATTTAGTGTGGTTACAGTGTTGAAAAAGACAAAAAAATAAGACATAAAAACCCTTGAGCCTTGCCAAAAACATTTTATCAACTTGTTTATTATGGTATTTGTGATATTTTGATGTTTAATCAGCATGGGAATGGTTTGATGTTAAATGTATATGATAAGAGAAACTATGAAAATAATATATATCTGAGACAAATTATTCAAATAATAGTGTTCTGAAGAATTTGTTCACTCTGCACTCAATAAAAGAAGTTATTCTGGGACCAAACAAATATATCTCAAATTTCTTCTTGATGGAAAAAAAAAAAAA